AGCCTTAAAAGCAAAAGCAGCTGGGACAGCGGCACTGCAGTGAATAACATGCACAGTATTGTTGCACATTAGTTGCAGGAACATCTTTCATTTTATATTGTATTTCCACTTAGTGGGAAATATACTATGTAATGTCATGTGACTTAGTTTAACCATTCACAGCATACGTAACAACAGCTACAAGTAATTTACATTTGGGGAAAGTCACTATGCATTTCACAATTGTTGTTTTTTCAGTACCGTACCTTATGCAAGTACAAATAAAACGCATAAATTAATGTTTTGCTCAATATTTTTAGTACATGAACAAAATTATAACATATCGGTACTTTGAATACAAGTGTAATATCTCTTATATCATAAGAATGAAGGACTTTATTTAAGGCTTTTCCACCAGCTGCAGTCTTTTTCTTCTACCTATCAAAGGAGCATATATTGTTTATTTCAAATTTCAATTTCTGTGAATACGAGAAATTGGAGAAAATTGTGATTATGTGTTTGCTGGCAGTGAGATAGTAATGTTTAGGATTTATAATTGAATTCTGTTTCTGGGAGATCAGTAGTGGATAATTGATTGCATTTCACAAATACCGGAAACGTGAAATCTTTAATTCAATAGCAATATGGGAAAATCATGGATCATTAATTTCGAAATATTGAAATGACAAATAAAGACTGTATGTGAGATTAATGTTTAGTCACATTTCTATCCGTTTCACTGGAATTGTGTGTTTGAGGACGCACAGGTAATATTGATGAAGATGATGATGTCAGAAAATGTAATTACAGAAAAGTAAAAAGTGGTAGCATGAGTTCAGCAAATAATGTGAAAAGTAGTCGTATCAATCACTCTCAGTTGGCAGAGTTGTCGTACAGTATTGCAGTACACTCATAGAAACATGTATGTGTCGCTTAAGATGAAAAAAACGGCAACTACTATAAACCACTTATTTTCATGAAATTAAACCGAGGGAGTCCTCATCTGCGCATGCGTCAGATGGCCATAGCATGTCATTGTTTACAAACATGCGTTCACCCAAGAGCTTTTGCGATTTTAGCGTGTGTTGTTATCATCGATTGGGACTCAATTTCTGCGTGTGCACAGGTGATGACCCTCTCGCTTTAAGTGTCACTAAAGTTCTCTAAAAGACTGGTATTATTTCATCACTGACTTTGCATTGTTTTCCTAAGACTATAATGTGACTGTATTATTGCAACCATGTAACCTCATTTCACTGTGATACATTGTATCAGGTTTTTTGTTCAATGAATATTTGTCACTAGAACATTCTTAATTCAAAAATAATTAAAAATTCATAAAATGGTCTGAAAGTCTATGAGCTGAAACCTTGCAGCAACTCTGTAATAATAATAATTACCTTATACCACTTTTGGCCATGTGATCTATTGTTTAACCACTACTTGTATTTCTTTGCAGCCATTGTTATGCTATAATAGACCAATTATTTGTGAGTATGTCATCCACAAGTTACAAGTTCCTGATGACATTTGTTCATAAATGCCCAGTTAGTTGGTGTAACCTTGTTAAATGAGTTCAGTAAAGCACTTATTCCACCCAATGTAACAGTATTAAAATGAAAACATTGAGTTTCCATGAAACAAGTTACCATACTAAATACATATTTTTAATGTCTTTATTTTGTATTAAAATTTGATTCAAATGTGATTAAAATTAAATCAAAAATAGAATCACTACACTCAAAGATGGCATTAGAATGTGACCTCAATGTTTTTTTGAAACCAGTAGCCACTTGAGCTGAACTGTGTTTCTAAGTCTGGCCGGCTCATTCAATGTAATGGGTATCAAGAATGTATGGTCTTTTTGCCACTTGGGGGCGCTATACACATTCCTGGACTCTGAAGATGACCCCTCCTGATAATAAATAACTGTGTTAAAAATGGAACTGTATTACATGTATGAGAGAAAAAAGTGTTCTATAATTGAGATACAATTCAATTAATATACTAGCAGTTGATGTTTAGTAGCACATTACATTGATATAGCATAAACATTTGATGATGGTGTATAATTAAATGTCCACTGTTGGCATTGTTTCCACTGTCTATAGATGATAAGACTCTAATTAAGGGAATGTCTTGGGGAATGTGAGCCTGTAGCAATGTGTAATTACTGTGTTATCAGGGAAGGGTCATTAGATTGCGGTTAGGGTGTAAATCTGTCATATGGAAATGTACCATTATATTGTGAGGAGTGGCAGTACATATTGTGAAAGAGGTAAATTTGTTATGTACAAAAAAAAAAACATTTCTATTTGGGGGTATTATTAGAGGAAAACCATTAGATATTAGGGGTGTTATCAGGGTTGTAAAATTATGTATAAGGGGCGTTATCAGAGGAAAACCATTAGATATTGGGGTGTTATCAGGGAAGTACTATTTAAATACTATTTTGGTCAAATATATTGAGATAGGATATTTTGTTATAAAACATTACCAATGTCTGTTTAATTTTGAGTTTTTAGTCCCCGTTTGGACGAAGTCCGAAAACGGGGACTTATAATTCGGTCTCCGTCTGTGCGTCCGTGTGTCCATGCGTCCGTCCAGAGTCATATCTCAGAATCCCTTGGACCGATTCTGTTCATTCTGTGTATTTGCCTCGTACTTTATGTGGGACATATGCACATGCAGTGGTTTAGCGATTCGATTCAAAATAGCCGACTGGCAGCCATCTTGTTTTTTGAAAATGTTGTATTTTGGACATGCTTTATCAGTTTTCATTCAAACTTGGTACATAGATTATACATGTCCATGACGATTTATTTCGCAATTGGATCAAAGATGGTCGACTTGTTGTTTTTTATGCGGTATCTTGGATGTGCTCTGTCAGTTTTCATTCAAATTTGGCACATACATGTACTCTATACATGTTAGGATGCATGTCCATGACAATTTGTTTCAAAATCTGGTCAAGGATGGCCAATGGACAGCCATCTGACTTTTTGGCCTTCCTACTTTATTTGCACAATTTATGTACCATTTTCATTCGTATTTGGCACATACATCATACATGTCAGTGTGTTTCATAATCAGATCAAAGATGGCTGAATAACGGCTGTATTTATTTTTGGCCATATTACTACTACACGGAACACGTGTTTTGATGTAAATAAACAATCTGTTGTATACGCCACTTGGAACTCAAGTTTCAAGGACACGCTCGCGCTCAAAGAGAACTTTCAAAAATTTAACGGGGACTGTGTCATTTTCAATGACTTGTTACATTAGTATATGCATCAGTCTAATGAATCAGGTCACTCCCTCATGTGCATTTACAACTGAATTGTATGTTACACCCTAATACAAATGTGTGTACTATATATTTATTCTCAGTTTTGAATATTCAAAATAAATGACATACATATAGAATGTGGTGGTTGTTGAACACAGAGTGACTTCAGTGCTCAAACCTACCAAGTTTATTACCTCAATTCCCTTCTTACAGTGGCTCTTGTTGACAAAATATATAAATACAATTTACAATCACATTAGCCTAATTCCCTCCCACAATGACCATTGGTGATAACAAATACAAAATAAGTAAATAAAATTTGCTGTAGTAGACATCCTGTGTGCTAACGGTTGAGACTGAAGACAATAGCACATCACACAACCTGGTGAATTGTACAATTGACCAATCACGTGGGTGGAATACCTGCCTGTGAATTACTTTACATAACGACTAGATAGCAATTATATGCTAATCTTCGAAATGCATAAAATTGTTCATTCTCACAATTAACATGGATATGTATTTAATCTATTCACATGATTCCAATAAAATACTGTAAACTGCTTTAATTTCACAGAATTTACATAAATTTTGCGTGAATTTTTCTAGCAGTGAAAGTTTTTTTCATGGATTTTACGATGCAAAGTGTAGGTGACTTTCGTGAAATGTTGTCCTCATGATTGCCATATAATTTCCATCAGTTAAAAATATATGGTTTACAGTACATTATCATATACCTTGTATTGCCCAGCCTCATAATGCTATGGGAAGTGCATCCTCAGTTCAGGGCAATAATTTTCAATCAAAATAAATTACATTGTGTCTTAAATTGTAATTACACCTATAAGGTACATGATAAAACCTTTATGGACTGGATACAGCTTTTGCTGCCCTCGTTCTTACAGCTTACCGCCCTCCCAAGCTTGGTTGCTTCTGTCGCAAAACCTCGGACCGCGCAAGCCGCATCCAGTCCATAAAGAATATAGAGGCCATCATCAACTTTTTCTTATTGATCATTTGTGTATGTTCTCATGACAGTATAATATCATCTACAGTATACTTATTTGAATAGCCTTTAAATAAATTTCAGTCTGTGAGGTATCCCTTACTTCATAAATAAATTAATGAATCTATAAATATAAATATGAATATAAAGAAGGTATAATATCCACTAGAATATATTTGCACTGAATCATCCCTTCAGTGTATATAGCGAAAATAAATTCCAAACGAAAATAAAGTAATTCATAAAATGGCTTTTCAAATTACAATACAGTATATAGCAATTGTTAATTAACAATTTTGTGACTCTCATGGGATCACATGTTCACTCTCCTGACAATTACATGTATATCTATACGTACATTATGAATAATTATTTCATTCCAGTGGTTGTCCTTGCCATTTTTACAATTATGTCTACAAAATATATATATACATGTATGTATTATTATGATACCTATTTCATTCCAGTATTTGTCCTTGGCTGACCCAGTAATGGCAATTGTTTTATGTAATATTAGTTTTTGAAAACGAACTGGTAAAATCTCCCCCATTGACGTGAAATTTCTATGTGTGTGCTATTCTGTTGGTCCATTTATAGTTACCACCTCGTCCTCGTTTTCAAGGTGGTAATTATGCTAAGGAGTAGCGTATCTTGTCAGCTGTCAACCAGCTTTATATCTGACCCTGGTATATTTATTAATTTCTCTTTTTTCTCTTTTAATAGATCAGTTTTTTCACATTCCTGTCGGCTGTCTGCGTCATACTTCATCTGGTTGCCACGGTGTTGTCAGGAGAAACAGGAAGTCTTCTCAAGTCTTTCTTGATGTGTATGCGGCATGATGTTCAGAATACGTGTCTATGTTGTGATACAACTTACGAGTGTGGACTTAATTACATCCATAAAGCTGTGCTGTTTGAAGGCGTCTTGAATTGCGATATGGTGTCATCAATACTCAAAGAACTCATGTATACTATATGTGTTATCAATGTTATAGCCTGTCTTCTCTCATTTATTGCTACAATTCTGGGATGTGCCAATATCGTTAAGAGGAATTCTGGGAGAAGGGTGAGTTAAACAAATTAATTTGTACACATGCACATTAATCATTTTAACTCCCTTTTATCATCAGTTCACTGAGCCACAGTGTGCTATATAAATGGATTTAATAATTAATAAAATTAACACCTGTAATCCTGCTATATATTCAGTGACACAGTAATTAATTAAAATTGAGCAGTTATATAATTTGCATACACAATCACTGATGCTTGAAATAGGATTAGAATTTGATAATGTAAAAAGTACTTAGTGGGATTTCTTGTTAGCTTATATAGCGCCCTCACTCATTTATTCTTTTGTTTTTATTTAACTATCCTCGGGGGCGGAGCTACGTCACAAGACGTTCCACGTTGCTACGACGCGCACCACTGTACATGCATTTCTATGGGCTCTGTGCGCGCTGCTGTGGAACGCCGGTCGAGCCGGTGAAAATTCGAGAAAACAACACAAACTCAACTTTGAAGTAATCCCGAACAGCCAAATTTATATACGTTACACACGTAGGGCTAATCTTGTTACACTGTTCAGAGGAGTCTCAACAATCATCCCAAAGTACCGTTTTCTGCGAGTTTTGGGCCTTTGTTTTCACCGCCGCAGGTTGCCAGGCGGTGAAAATGCCCGGATGTCCGCCCCCGAGGATAGCTCATGATAGTGCGCCCTCTAAGCCAAATAATGCACCACTGATTTATAAAGATAAGTAGATGTGCTAATTCACTGGCATGTCAATGATGCAACAGAAAATTATACATTGATCCTGAAAAATATCTTATTATAGATATGGAATTATAAACCAAATAATCACAAGCCACAACATTTCTGTTAGTGCCTTAAGTCATCTTTTCTTACTTACCCTGTCTGAGTGTATTTGCATGTATGTTCCACCATTATCTTAAGAATCAATCATTGTTCACTGAAATTTAGTATATAGATGCTCTACAACAAAACACAGACCTGATTATTTTTTT